CGAGAGGGAGGGGCCAGGGCGGAGGCAGCAGCCGCAGTCTCTGATGGAGAAAAGCACCCTGAGACATAGTGGTTCCTGGAGGTCACGCAGGGCGACCAGGGCCTGCCAAACAAGTCTGGCACCGATTTTCCATTTGGGGCACAAGCCACAGGCTGCCACCACCTGGTGTCCTGCCAGCCAGGTGTCCTGCCAGCCAGAGAGGTGAGGAAGCCAGGTGGGTGCTGGGAGTGAGTGTGGAGTCACCCCTCCCCATCCTCAGAGCCCTGCCAGGTCGGCAGAGGGAGGGTCCCTCTCCACTTCTCCCCACTAAACCCTCACCTCCCCACCTCTGCCACGCCCAGCCAGCTCTCAGAGCCTGGAACTTTTGATGTTTACGTTGTTCTTCCCACAGTTCAAAAGGAACTGGAAGCCCCAGCCCTGCACGGAGCAGGCCTTAATCTCCCATCCCTCACGCTCCCAGCTGGCCAGTTAAGGCGGTTAAGACGCTGGATTAGGGCCGGCTTTACATAACAACGCAGGAGCTAAAGCCATCCTCTCCAGGGATGGCTAAAAGACTTCTTTTTATCTTCACGCCTCAGATGGCCTTTTTTCTCTCTTAAACAGCTCTCTAGCCCGCCAAGAGGCAATGAACTTGGCCAACAGGAAGACAAAGAAAGGATTCAGGACTCAGTTTGTTCCCCCTTGGCCAGCAGCACAGAGGGAACCCGCAGCCCCGGGCTTGGGGCAGGTGACGTTCCCATGGCCAGGACTCAGCAGCACCTGCTCTCCCAGACCTGCCAGCCACAGCCAACCCCCAATCCTGCGCAGGGGGGAGGGTGGCTTCGAACCACAGCAGGAAGGGTGGCCAGAGAACTGCAGTCCAGGTCACAGGGCCCAAGTTCCTCCAAGGGGTCTCTGGGGCCAAGCAGACAGGTCTAAGCACCCACCTAGCACAAGCCAGAGAAGCCCCACTCTTACTGCTGTATCACTTTACTGTTTTCACTTTTTAGTTCTGTCATTAGTTTTTCATTTATTTTAGCTATAGGATGCATGCACTTGCCAAAGAGACAGAGATATGAAAGCAAGAAATCACCCCATAGGGGGCATGGCCACACCACAATCCCTTCTCCTCCATTCTCCTCTCAGGATTTTGGACACACACGCATACGTGCCTGGGGTGAGTTTCAAGCCACCAGGTCCGGGATGCAAACCATGGTGACTCATGTGGGAGTCTAGTGCCTTAACCACTACACCACTTGCTGGCCCCAGTTTTTAATTTCATAAAGAGTACATGGTTACACTTTTTAAAACTTAAGACATCACCTATAGATAATAGTAATAACTCTTTTGCATTCTGTGTTTCTTTGTAAGCTTTGATTTGAAGAAAGAGGCTAAGAAGTTTAGCCAACAGCAACCTAGTCCAACTTCTAGTTGGGAAACTGAGGCAGGCTGGTGACCCCGAACTCCTCCCTTGTCAGTGGTGGCACTGATACACTTGGACACCATCAGTAACTGGTACTGGGCCCCCCGGTAGTGTCCATGCTGCCCTCATGAACCATGAACCCGATGAACCATGAAGTCCAACTAAGTGACGCCAACCCGAAGCCTTTCCTGGCAGGAGCTGGGACTCTTGGCTACCCGACAACCAGTGCTAGTAGGTGCTACCTACTATGACACTCAGTGTCCACAGTGTCCAGCTCCATGTCACCACTCATGTTACAGAGGGCAAGGGGGAGGCCCAGAGACGGAGGGACCAGCCCATGATCACCCAGCGAGTCTTTGCCAGAGCTGGGAGGGAAGCCAGGTCCATGGCTCATTTCATGTCTGTCTGCAGAGACAGGCAGCTTGTATGAAATCAGTACATGATTTCAGACTGGCCTCGATGGAAAGGAAAGTCCTAAGTTCAGTTCTAACCAAAGTCCCAATGAAGGACAGACGGATGGGTGGATGGATGGGAAGACAGGCGGAGAAATAAATGGGTGGGAAATGGAAGATGAATTACGGGATGAGTGGGTGGATGCTGAGCAGATGCCCCCAGGAGGTGGCTGGGTGGCAGATGGCGGCTGGCTGGCTGAGGGGTGGGTAACAGAAGAACAGGTGGATGAATGACTAGGAATGGACGGAGGCAAGGTGCTGAGGGTGGAGGGGAGATGAAGGACAGATGAGTGCTGGAAAGGTGAGCACAGAGTAGCGGGCGGGTGGGTGACTGGAAGGTGCTGGTGACTGATGAACATATACATGGACGGACGGATGAGTGGGTAGACAAGAAAAAGAACTTGCTAATCCGTTTCCATACGAATGGGAGGTATATGTAGATGAACGGAATCCATGCAATCCGTTTCTGGGGCCACCTCCATCCCCAGGGCCCGGCTCCCCAGATCTCTAGGGCCCAGATTCCATCATCTCCACAGAGCCAGGAATGACAGCTATGACTTGAGAGAACCCAGAGAATGAAGAGACTCAAAGTCGCTGAGGGCCTGAGAGCAAGCACCAGGTCCACAGGAAATACACTCCACGGCAACGCAGAGCCTGGACAGAGCTTTCCGTCCACGGGCTTCTCCCCCCTTGACTGGAGACTTGCTAGAGTTTGGTAGATGCGAAGATTCCCAGTCTGCCCCCAATTTCCAGGCAACTGAGTGAACGTCTTACAACTGTGCTTCTCCAAGTGCCATGGGCACGCGAGTCACTTATCAAAATGGGGTACCAGCAGATTGTGTAATGGTTACATCACGGGATTCCCATGTAGTTGAATGTGGTTCAAGTCCCAGGCCCAGTGACTTAAAACTCACACTGGGCATGTGTGCCCAAAATCCCAAGAAGAGAATAGAGGAGAAGGGATTGTGGCATGGCCATCCCTCCTGGGGGTGATTTCTCACTTTCTGTCTCTCTGGCAAGCACACACGCCCTATAGCAAAAATCTCTCTAAAAACAAAAATGCAGATTGGTGTCAACAAGCCCTGGGTGGAGGTGAGACTACGATTAACAGCTTTCATGCCAGATGAGGCCTGACCCTCAGGTCTGGCTCAGGTCCCCCCAAACCCTCCCGTTACTGCCTGCTCTCCTCTCAAGGCCCACAGGACCTTCAAGGCCTACATACCCCTAAGGACCCTTGAGCCAAGGTCCCCAGGAGAGAGGTCCTTACTCCCGGAAGGCTGTCCCTTTTTGGTGATTCTCTTCTCCGATTGTGAATAAAAACAGAAACGCTATCCCGTTCAGCAGACACTCCCAGCTTGGATTTACGATGACATCTGTTCCCTTGTACCAACTCTGGGAGTCCAGCAGGCAAGAGGCCCCCATTCCCAATCTCTGACTGTGGAAGCGAAATCTCAGGAAGGCAAGGTGCTGTCCTAAGTCCCATCAGCACGCCAGCAGCCGGCTGGCCCTTCATGCTAGTGTCCCAATTCTCTCCGCAATGTGGCGCTTCCCCTTTAAGTGAAAGCTACCAGGAGAGAGGCCAGAGGCCAGCTGCAGGGGTGGGGGGGTCGGGGGTGCACACATGAGCAAGTACACGCTGTGCACCAGGGGTGATGCAAATGGGGAAACAGCACAGCTACAGCATCTGGTCCTCCCTGCGTCCCTAATGCTCTTTGGAGGCTTCTCTCACAGTCCCCCAAGCAGCTGCTACCACCAACCCCAGGGACGGGGACAGTGAGGTGAAACTACCTGTCCACCTGAGGTCCCCAAGCTAATGGGGTGCAAGGCGGGATGTGAGCCCGAGTGCCTAGATTCTGGCTGCACTTGGTCTGGTGAAGCACTTCCCTCCCGTCTTCCTCCTCATCCTCAGCCCTGTCCCACTGAGAAATACCACACCCCATCTTTTCAAGAGCACATGGGGTGCACAGCTGACCGGCTGGCCCCATCCCCACCTCACTGCTGCTGGGACGAACGTGACAGGCTCCAAGTACCTTCTAGTCGGAAGTCCTCTTCTTCCTCCTCGCTGAGTGTTTCTCTGAAAACTTCACCCACAAGCTCCTAGAGGAAGACAAAGCAGGACATTAAACAAGTGTCCCGGTTGGTGGGAACAAGGGTTGGGCGTGAAGGGGTGAGGCGAGACCCTGGGCTGATGTTCCTGGGAGGGTCTGAGCCCCCTGAGGCAGATCCCCTCGCACCCGCACCCGGAAAGGAAACTACTGTGATGCTTTCCAGAAAGGAACTTCTCGTCTGCAGTCTCCCTCAAGGCACTGCCCAAGACTACACTTCTCCCTCGAAGAGAAGGTCCACCCTCCACTCTGGGACTGCAAAGGAAAGATCAAAGTGCCCATGCCACTGAGCCACCTTGATGGACTCAGGACTGACCAGCCTCGTCTGCAGGCCCCATAGAAGAGACCTCAGTGTGGATCCTTCCTCCAACAGAGGGGCCCAGGCAGCTGCCCGATGGATTTATAAAGAAGCCCAGGAGCCAGCAGATGGCATAGTGGTTAAGGTGCTGGACTCCCACATGGCCGATCGAAGTTCAAGTCCTGAACCCAGTGGCTTGAAACTTGCTCCAGGCGTGTGTGCATGAGTGCCCAAAATCTCAAGAGGAGAATGAAGGAGAAGGGATTATGGTGTGGTCATTTCTCATTCTCACTCTCCCTCTCTCTGTCTCTCTGGTAAGCACACATGCCCTGTGGCAAAAACAGAAACCAAAACCCTGTAGGACGCTATGGTGGGTCCTGACTGCCCTTACTCCAAACCCCGACTCATCACAACATTCAGAACCAGCCCCCACACTCTGGCCCAGCTGCCTTCCCATCACGCCTCCCATATTTTACCAACACACACCTTTTAGCGACTAGCCTGAGCCTGCAGCACATCTTGCCTGTTCCAGTCAGTGAGTTAAAGATGTCTGGTGTTTGGGGGCCGGACAGTGGTAACAAAATTGAGCCTGCATGGCACAGGCCCTAGAACCTCACTGAGCACTTGGGGACACGTGTGCCTATGACCTGGACCAGCTGAGACTGGAGTGCATCGCGGCACGAAGACCTGTCGAGACTGCCTGTCTTTCTCTCTCTCTCTCTCTCTCCCTTTCAGGAATAAATAAATAAATACACCTTAAAAAAAAAAAGATACCTGCTACCTCATCCCACATGGTAGGTCTCCCCCCCAGCCAGCCTCCCCAGGCTGCCCCCCAGGTGTTGTCCAGCTGGTGATGGGAGTTTGGTCATTTGACAGGGTGAGAAATTTCTGGAATGTCAACAAAGGCTCCATGCATTTGACCCCACCCCAGCAGGACGACTGTAGATATGGAAGAGGCGAGATCAGGGTTTATCGGACTTCTATGCTTGTTGGTATTCTGCCTAGAAAAAGTCTGTGATCAAAGAAGATCGTTTTAAACAAAGTTAAATAAGGTCCCTTACTGTAGGACTTATTAGAACTTTCACTAAGTTTCTAAACACCCGGCGAATCGCCAAGTGCTGGTGTATACTGCATTCTCCAAACTTAGACTATAGAGTTGTTTCTCAAAAGCACCACACGGGGGACCAGCAGGTGGCATGGTGGTTAAAGGCACTGGACTCCGCATAGCCAACCATGGCCATAGTTCCAGTTCTGGACCTGGTGTTTTGCTTTCTCATTTTGTCTCTCTCTCGTCTTTCTCAGATCAATTTTTTTAAATTAATAAATAAGTAAAGCTAAATAAAATAATTTTTTGGCAGGGAGAGGTTTTTGTTGTAGGGCATGTGTGCTCACTAGAAAGATAGAGACAGACAGAGAAATAGAAAGCGAGAAATCACCCCCCAGGGGGGATGGCCACACCACAATCCCTTCTCCTCCGTTCTCCCCTCGGGATCTTGGGCCCCCGCGCACACGCACCCAGTATGAGTTTAAGCCACCGGGTCTGGGGCTTGAACCGCGGTTAGCTACATGGGACTCCAGCAATGTAACCATTATGCCATCTCCTGGTCCCAATAAAATAATTTTTTGAAAAAAGCACCACACGGCATTCATGTTCCAAAGAACTAACTTTGGAATATCCTCCTCTTCTCAGGGACAGACAAGGTTTGGGAATTATTCTCTCTCTCTCTTTATTTTTATGCTATAGGATGTGTTCGCTCATGGGATAACCAGAATGAGAGAGGAAAAGTGAGAAACCACTTCCCAGGGAAGATGGCCACACCATAGTCCCTTCTCCACTCTCCTCGGGATTTTGGGCACACACATACACACACACACACGCGTGCACGCGCACACATACACACACACACACACACACACACACACGCCTGGCATGACTTTTCAAGCCGCCGGGTCCAGGATTTGAACAGTAGAATCAGTCATATGGGAACCAGGCACCTTAACCACCATGCCACCTACTGGCCCCACCATCTCTCTTTAATGCCCACCAGGACACGAACACGGGTACTTCTTCCACCACAAAATGACAGCAATGAAGTCCAAACACAGCAGCTGTCATCAACTTCTCTGAAAAGAAAAAAGAAAAAAAAAAAAACACCCTCTCCTTGAAAAACAGAAAAACCCTACACCTCTGACGCTTAAAAGGAAAACCAATCCTCCCCTTGATTAACAAAAGAAAAACAATGCTTTGTGAGCCAGTCTCATCATCTGGACACAGCTGGAGGTAAGCCTCTGGTTTTGGGGGTTTTCTTTTAAAGGCAAACAGCTCACATGGTGTGGATTAGGGTTGGTCTCCTCTGTTCTTTCTTCCTTCACATCACTGTAGGGCATTCCACACTCCTTCTTAAAGGTTGTTAAAATGTGGCCATTCAGACTCCTGGGTGTCCCATTTACTTCAAAACCACGCTACTTTATTCCTCAGTGGGGATGGGCTTCTCTCTCCTCCTCCGCCAATTATTATAATCACCGAACATTTCCCGGGCTTGTAAACTGGCTGTTTGTGTTAACAGAACCAGAGTTGACAGGGGAGCTGGGAGACGATGACAGGAAAGGGACGCACACAGGTGGCATCATTAGATGGCAGGGACGCCCCAGCAGCCAATTAAAGCCCATCTTTCATGCCAGAGAAAGGAGGCTGCTGCCTCCCCTCAAAGGCTGGCAGGCTGTGCTTCCTCACAGGGACAGGCGACATCTTCAAGAGAAACCACAAACCTCTTCCTGCTGCGACCCTCTGCAGAGATGGGGACTCTGCACTGACCTCAGCCGCCACCCTGACCGGACCACAGCGAGGCTGAGCGGATCCACGAGCCTTTGGGGTCCTCGTGGCTTTTTACTGCCATTGCTTGGAAGAGTTCAAAGACACCCAATGTTGCCACCAACAAGGTAGCCATGTGGGCCCCCAGAACGGCACCCACTGGGTACAAGGCACCCACAGTCTTTACCCTGATGGCTGCGGAGCGCTCGCTGTGAAAAAGTGCCTGTGGGAGGACTCAGCTCCTGACAGGCTCACAAAGCAGGGTTCTGGCAAGTTCTGGGGTCGGCCTGTCCCTGCTAAACTGCAGCCTGCTCTGCGGACCCTGCGAAAAGGTCTCGCCCACCATGCCACACAAATGTTGATGACGGCAGAATGTCATCTCTCCAACCAAGCCATGCAGCCCAGCATTGTCCTGTGCAAATCTGTGGTCCTCTCGCTTGCAGTAGCGAGGCCCAAGGCAAGAGGATGTTGAGCCAGACAGCAGCATGGCTCCACCACCTCCCTCACCCTTGCACCTCAGTCTACTTAGCTGTAAAAGGGGGCGCCGCATGATTTATGTATTATTTATTAGCAATAAACTACAACAACAATAAACAGCAGACACTGCGCATTCCTGTGTGCCAGGCACCATGCTAGGCATTACATATAACCAACAAGTTCATGGAAAATGGAAAGAAAACACAATTTCTTTTAGTGTAAAAAATACTAAAATCCATTAAATTTTGTATTTCTTTCTTTTTTTTTTTATTAATTTGCTTAGGGTGTATGAGATCAACACAGAGAGAGAGAGACAGAGAGAGAGAGAGAAAGTGAGAAAGTACCCCCACCCCCCAGGGGGATGGCCACACTTCAATCCTTTCTCTTTCATTCTCCTCTCAGGATTTTGGGCAGGCACACACATGCGCCTGGTGTGTTTTTCAGTCACTGGGTCTGGGACTCGAACTGTGCAAACAGCCATGTGGGATCCAGCACTTTAACCACCATGCTACTGGATGGCGCCCATAGTTTTTTTATGATGCACATTATTCCATAAACTTTTAAAAGATCCCTTGTATACATAAACTCCTTTAATCATCACAACAGTCTTGCTTTTTTCCATTTCTCAAGGAATAAACGTTCATAAAAATGATTTGGAAATTGTAAAGTGAGAGTTATAATTGGTACCATTTTTTCCCCACAAAGAACATGGCCCCAACCTCTAAAGGCCATCTGAGACAGAAAGACAAGGCCAACGACAGCCACTGCCACCACTGACCCTGTGGCATATGAGGCTCTGACTGCCAGACTCCTCACAAGAACGTCCAAGAAAGGCCCCAGGTCCCCTCTGTGTGAATGCAGAGGCAGCGCCAGGGGCCAGAGGGTCTGCTCTGGGTCACTGGCCAGCCAGGGGCAGAGCCGGGATTTGAGCCAGCTCCTTTGGATGCCCCAGCCCAAGTGCAGCAGTGGACTCAGGGAGCAGAGCTGACCAAGAGACCTGAGACTTGCCAGGGACCGACAATGGGTCATGCTCAAAGCAGTATGAGAGAATTGGCCCAGCCAACAGTTCCAGTGGGCCAGGGGCCATGTCCTCCTATGTGGACTTTCTGTGGTCTGGGGCTATGGCCCTACCCTGACGGCAAGCCTGGGGCAGAAGCCCTTCGTGCCAGGTCTGGGGGTAGGAAGTCGGGCACTCCTAAGCACCACTAAAAGCTCCGTGCACAGGGCACGGAACTGTAGTCGGCCAGACCTGGGTTCCAATCCCAGCTCTACCGCATCATCTGGGTGCAACTCAGTTTCCCGTTGGTAGACAGGGACAATAGCACCCATGACACCCAGTGTGGTGGTGAGTAGTCAGGAAGCCATTGCATGAGCAGTGCTCAGCGCCACACCTAGGGCCGCCAAT